CACAGACTGAATGTCTCTGCTTCGTGAGAAGAGAGATTAGCACCAGCAGGGCAGTGTGTGACATTCTTTAATCATTTGCCACCACCCTGCCATGGGTGATCTCACGTGGAAGTGAAAAAATGGTACAGTTGCTCCTTGTGTTTTCTGCTGAGCTTGCAGGCAGAAATGCTAGTTGGAAGATTTATATGTTTGACTGAGAGAAATAAACTAGTGCCTTATATTATATTCATATAATAATGTACATTGTAACTTACTCAAATCTGGGATTTACAAACATAAAGTTACAGCCAGTTTATCTGGTTTCCTCAATCTTCCATTGTATGATCCAACTTATTTGTTTATAACAAGTAAAACAAATTATCAAAATTTTATAAGAGCTATGGAGGCCAGATGGCAGACTAGAGTCAGCCTGTGTGTGCTGCTCTCAAGGAGAGGATCAAAAGTTGCAGGTGGATGCCCACCTACAGATGGGCCTTCTTGGAGAGAGAGTATTTAAAACACCAGAGAAACAATGGGGGACACTCAGAGTGAAGGAGAAGGTGATGGAGTGATCCATTCTGCATGATTAGAAGGTAGCTGGGGGAGGCATCTACATGTGGGGAAGGATGGGAAGAGACAACCCTGGGGCTCCACACTCCCCTCAAAAGACACTGCAGAGAGGGCCCCTACCGCCACTGCAGACCTCTAGACTGATCAGGGAGCTGCCTGGAGTCTGTGTAGCAACATTGCACCAGGACCTGGTGGCTTCTGTTCCTGGGTTACTACAACTGCTGCCATTCTGGGCCCAGGGTACCAGGTCTATATAAGACTAGGCTTTGCTGCAGCCTCCTCCACACAGCCCCTGCTGGGCCAGAGAGGAAGCAGGCAGAATGGGCCTGGGCCCTGAGGCTCTGCCCCTGAGTCTCCACCCCTGCTGCTGGCCCCTGTGGCTCCATGTCCTCCCTACCAGTCTCCACAGCACTACTGGGTCCCATGGCTCCATTCCCCAGGCTCCAGCACTGCCACCATGAAAATTAAACAACTTGTTGCTGAACAATCCTTGGGTCGATGAAAAAATTAAGATGGAAATCAAAAGATTCCTCAAATGAAACAACAAAGAAAATGTAAGCCATCAACATCTATAGAACAGAGTAAAAGCAATCCTAAGGGGAAAGTTTATAGCCTTAAATGCTTACATCAAAAAGACAGAAAGATCACAAATTAACAACCTAGTGTCATATCTCCAGGAACTAGAAAACCAAATCCAGCAAACCAAATCCAGAAAACCAAATCCAAAGCTAGCAGAATAAAAAAAATAACAATGCTCAGAGAAGAACTAAATGAAATAGAAACCAAAAACACAATGCAAAGATCAACAAAATAAAAAGTTGATTCTTTGAAAAGATAAACAAAATTGATAGACCATTAGCCAGATTAACCAGAAATAGAAGATAAAGGACTCAAATAACCTCAATCTGAAATGAAAAAGGATACATTACAATTACTACCACAGAAATACAAAATATCATCCATGAATACTACAAAACCTCTCCACTTACAAACTAGAAAACATAAAGAAAATGGATAAATTCTTGGAAATACACAACCTCCCTAGCCTCAATCAGTAATAAACAGAAATCCTGAACAGACCAATAATGAGAAGTGAGATTGAAGTAGTAATAAAAATAAAAATCAACAAAAAAAAAGCACCAGACCTGACAGATTCATAACCAAATTATACCAGACTACAAAGAAGAACTAGAACCTATCCTACAGAAATTATTCTATAACATCAGGATGGAAGCAGTCCTCCCTAACTCACTATGAAGCCAATATCACCTTGATAGCAAAGCCAGAAAAGGATACAACAAAAAAAGGAGAGAGAGATTTTCACTTTCCCCCATTCAGTATGATGTTGGTTCTCAGTTTTTCATATATGTCTTTTATCATATAATTTTGAGTAGATTTCTTCTATGCCTAGTTTGCTGAGATTTTTATAGAGAAAGGATACTGGATTTTATCAAATGCTTTTTCTGTATCTATTGAGATGATCATATGGTCTTTGTTTTTGCTTCTGTTTCTGTGGTGAATCACATTCATTGATTTGCATATGTTGAATCATCTTTGCATCCCAGGGATGAATCCCACTTGATCATGGTGAATTATCTTTTTGATGTGCTCTTGGATTTAGTTTGCTTATTGAGCATTTTTGTATCTATATTCATAAGGGATATTGGTCTGTAGTTTTCT